TATTTTTAATGAATGTGACACACACTCATACATACACACACAAACACACACACACACACATATATATATATGTATATATGTATATATATTAATATATATATATATTATATATATATATATATATATATATATATATATATATATATATATATATATATATATATATATATATATATATATATATATATATATATATATGCAATAAACTGATCACAAATAGTGGAAAACTAGCATATATCTAGCCTGAGCGCTTTCGACTCTTTAATGAATCTTTTTTTAAAGGCATATACAAAACATAGAAAAAACAAACAAAAAGAACAGAAAACGTTTATGTTTGTAAAACCCTACATGGCTTTTTCTACATGAATTAAACCTATAGATGCATTGTGTCTCAACCAGCTTATATAGACATGTTGCGGATACTGAGAAATATTTGTAGTTAATTAGAAATCTATGAGCCGTAGCGACATCTATTGTACAGTAAACGTTACATAAATGTACGCAAATTTATATATATATATATATATATATATATATATATATATATATATATATATATATATATATATATATATATATATATATATATATATATATAATTGGAGTGAGATAATCTCAAATGGGTAATGATTTAATATTGAATTTATGAAATAAGTTTAAGAATGTCCAGCTTTTGCGAGCCTTGTCGAGCAAAAGCGGACATAATTCAACGAGTTTCTTAAATTTAATATTAAGTCATTAACCATTTGAAATTATTTTTATCACATAGTTTTTATTTCATTGAAAATTGTTCAGATAGAGAGAAGAACAAAACATTTCCTTCATTCTAATTGACGGTGTACTTTTCATTTCGTGTGCATAAAATATAGTCACAAATAAAGTTGAAATGGTAAAAGTATTTTGCACTTTTTACAAACTATGCTTCAAAGAAAAAACTTCCATCAGAATAAACAGAACATTTTATAACGACGAAATAATTTTTCGAAACAGACTGATTAATGCTTTTTGATGCTGCCACATTGTTTGGTACGGTACACATTACAGTCGGCGTAGAATACATGTTTAACCTTACAATGTCACGTTCAGAACTAAATGTTACATTGTTGATATTTTCATGAGAAATATGATAACTAGATGCAAAAGTCCCAGATTTTGTGGCCTGATATTTACAACTTTTGATTTGGAACAATAGATTGTACAGAAGACGTAAGCAAATTTATATTTGAGTGGTAATTGCATCCCATATATACATGTACTACGTAAATATGGTGCGGTTGGATAAATGTATCCAGATTCTTCTGTGAACAGAGGTGAGTCTATTTAGTTCAATTAGTTAACATTTAGATTTTGCTTGTATATATAGTGGATTCTATATCTATGTCGCCCCTACCCACCCACCCCACCACCCGCTATCAAACAAGAAATACCCTTAGTTTGACTTCTAGTTTACTTATAAATGTTGTTCTTGCCTTGTAATTTTAAGCCATTTTTATTATGATTATATTGTTATAGATGACATAACAAACCATGTGGGTGTAACATATCCATATTAAGACAGCTGACTTAATTTTCCTTAATTTCCTTTCGCGAGCAGAGTTAAAAAATGGCCACCAAAAATGTTCATTCAAATCAAAACATTCCAGAAGGCGGCAAAACGTTTTCCTACGATCCCAGCCAATCAATAAAGAAAATACTGTACAATAATTCCATGGGCTTATTTGGACCAATGCGAATCACATAACGTGATATTTTAACATGTGGTAGTATCTAAAATAAGAAACTGCACATACTATAGGAAAACCATATATACTATGTGAAATATACGTATGATTTGGAGTTGCGGTGAAAATGAACGTTAATCATTCGTTTATATTTAACAAAGGTGGAAAATTTTATGAAGTGTCCTTCGGTAAAATGTTCATTTTTCAAGAATGGTATTGTTTACAAGAAACTCAAATGCTTCATACTATCACAAATAATGTGCTTTGAATCTAAACGTCATTCCATTTCGTCATGATTCTGATAAATATGAAAAACACATGGCACCTGACAAACAGAGTGACTACAGATCACAAATGAAATGGTCATAAATATTTATCTAGGTTGCGATTAAAACTTACAAAGTCTCAGAATACATTTGTGACAATAACAAATAATTGCGATACTGCTTTGAAGAGGTTAGATTAAATGGCTTCTAATATAATTATGTTTGTAGTTTTATTGTTAGGACCCTGCATCAAGACACATAAGTCTTGTAGAATGCATCTGTTCTAAATGAAGTAAACATGATGTTTGTTAGGGGATGAGTTCAAGTGTTAGTGTAATTTTCAATCAGAAAGTTCAGTTTTCTAGAATGTTCTGTTACGCCGTAGGTGGCTGGAGTCTATATAAATAGGGTAAACAACTATTCTCTCCTGTTTAAATACCAGTCTTTTGGAATCTATTATCAGAGTTTGTAGATGTGCAAAGAGATAATTCGAGAAGAATAATTTATTTGCACAATTCATTAGAATTACAAAGTTCACATTGACGTTTTGGGCTAAAATAGTACGCTGGAATTTGTGGAGAACTCATTCAAAGTTATTCTGGTTTATATCATCGTGGCACATCGGGTCGTTTAAGATTATTGGAATTAATTTAGAACATGCTATACATTTGGAAATGTAGTTATATATTAGAAACATAAATTATGTGTTGAAATTTTCTTTCATTGTGTTTTCACGTCCTTTGCGTTTCAACTTTGAAGACCTCAATTTGAGATTGTACGTAAATATTTGGCGGATGTGGCTTCGTGGAAAGCTATCAGACATTTACCTATGTGATTGCAAGATGGCACGTGTGCTGGAACCTTAGTCAAACGAAGTAAATACAAATATTATATCTGTTTAAATTTTTGTGTTGTTGTTGGCAAATGGGAGTGAAGAGAAGTCGATAAAATAAAGTTATCTAACGTTTGCACTGGTAAACTATTATTATATTTTGAACAAAATGTAAAGGCTAGGAAAGTCTCCTTATTGGGTAATGTTGTTAGTCACTACTCTGCAACTCAAATTTGGCAACAAAGTAGGATTGCATAGTCACGTTTATGTCTATTCTATCATATGCTGTAACATTTTATTCATTCTAATAGCTACCACATCAGCACTTTTTAGTACAGCGGACGTAAAATCACTATTTCATATACCAACTATGATCCTTTCTGAATTTCACTTTAACACCGTACAAGATTGCACGTAAGCTACTAATCTCTATAGAGCATGTAAGCTATCCTTCTGATCTGCTAGATCAGTATTATCAAATAAAGGTTTGAAATATAAATAAAAATTATGATATTTCAAATAGGTAAAGAAAAACGGTATTTTCTTTTCAGTTTTCGCATGAACAAGTTGTTTAGTTTAAGAAAGTGTACTGCATTAGTGACGTAGAAGTGTAAATATGACTAACATTCGGAGTATGATACGATTTAGTTTAATATCCAGTATGCGTATTTGACTTTATGCTAAATCTATGTATTTAATATACATTATATATATATATATATATATATATATATATATATATATATATATATATATATATATATATATATATATATGTTGCCTGTATTACAGATCTGTATGCATTTTGATTAGTAAAGATTTACTAGAAGAACTGTTTATTAGAAGGTAAAACAGATATGATATTTGGACAATGAGTACTAGACAAACTATTTCTACATACCTTTTGTTTTCATTCAATGTACTGGTAAGAAGAACAATATTTTCTAGTTATCCAATAATTTCCTAACCACAATGATGATCAAATATAGAAAATAAAAAATTGTAGTAGTAAATGTGTTTAGTGTTATAATAATTCAAATGTTTGGACAATTAAATTATTAAATCAAATTCGTTGGGGAAATTAGCATAATGTGTACATATGACTGACTTTATTACGTTGCACTTTACATCTTCACATAGTTAAATTGCATGTATATGAATTAAAATTTCATCCATAAATTCAAACGTTTTCAATTCTTACCTTTATATCGACAGGTATCACACTCCTTTGTTTCATTTCCAACCGTTAAACATTTATCTGTTGACCACTTAATCCAATGCAAATCATTTAGCATAAACTTTGAAATTTTATATTGATTTAACGTGAATAATAAATCTTAGGGAGAATATTTTAATTTAAAAAAAACAACAACTCAGACTCAAGTGAAATCTTGCATGGCAAAACAAGTAAATTCAACAAATCATGTTCACTTTTCTATACAACCAGGTTCATTACAATTGTGTCCCTCATCCAGTACAAGTAGATCAAATGCATAACGTTTTTTTGTACAAAGTTATGCATTTGTACCTCTCACTCAGTACGATCAGGTCAAGTAAAAAGATATTGTATCCTCAGGCGATATAATCGTGTCAATTGAATTTTTTCTCTCACTCTGTTCAATCAAGTTAATTGAATTTTTCTTTACCTCACTCTGTAAAAGTATTATTCAAAATATTCTTAAAGAATCGATCCAAAATGCTCTATTAATATTCCCTGATTTCACACAATATTTATATAAAGAAAATTTAATTCATCAAAATAAAAATCCCTCTCATTTAGCAAATTTGATTTCAGTATGTCTTGCATCTAGAACTAAGTAGCTAAATCCATTAAACGCTTTGCCGGAGAAATACTAAAATTCCTTTCGAAGAAATCAGAGTGGAAGAAAATGACTTAGACAAAATCATTGTTTCTACTTACCCTGAAATCCATTAAATAATCACTCTTTCTACGAAATTCAATAATATTTATATTGAATTTTATAATACATTGGTTACTCGAAAGTTTTAATCATTTTGTCCATATTTTCTATCTAAATTAAAAGATCTAAGATAAGTAATTAGCAACTTAGAGAAGACGGCACATTTTTTTTTAATGTAAAATGGCTCACTCTAAAGTCAATTCGTAAGTTCAAGCTACAAAAATAAACGTGACTGTACTTATATTAGATAACCTCTCCTGTGGCCTAGTGGTTAGAGCGTTCGCCTCAGATGCGGGAGGTCGTGGATTCGATTCCCGGTTGAGTCATACCAAAGACTTACAAAAATGGTACTAACAGCTTCCTCGCTTGGCGCTCAGCATTAAGATGTTAGTATTAGGACTGGTCGGGCAGGTGTCAGGATAATGTGACTGGGTGAGACATTGTGCTACATGTCTGCGGCATGATGCTCCAGTGCTAGATATCACTATAAACTGAGATGTAAGTATATTCATCTACAGCAGAGATGGAGAAAAATTGGTATTCATCTACAGCAGAGATGTAAGTATATTTTTATTCATCTACAGTATAAATGGAGGAATATTGGTATTCAACTACAGCAGAAATGTAAATACACTTTTTATTTATCTACAGCAGAGATATAGGTATATTGGTGTTAAACTATAACATAAATGTGGGTAGTTTGGTACCCAACTTCAGGAATATTGATATTCAACTACAGCAGAGATGTAAGTATATTGGTATTCAACTATAGCAGAAATGCAGGCATATTAGTATTGAACTACAGGAGAGATGTAGGTATGCTGGTATAAAACTACAGCAGAGATGTAGGTATGCTGGTATAAAACTACAGCAGAGATGTAGGTATGCTGGTATAAAACTACAGCAGAGATGTAGGTATGTTGGTATTCAACTACAGAAGAGATGTAGGTATGTTGGTATTCAACTACAGCAGAGATGTAGGTTTATTGTTATTCAAGTACAAGAGGTGCTGTAGGTATATTGGTATTTATCTACAGCAGAGATGGAGGAATATTGGTATTCCACTGCAGCAGATATGTAGGTATATTGGTATTTAACAAAAGCAGAGACGTAAGAATAGTGGTATTCAACATGTTTCAAACTTATCTCTGCACTGGAAATGTGATTGTGAAGAGAGAATGTTTTTTTTTTTTTGCACATGACATTGTCAAAAGCCCTGTCAATACCACGTTTCTAGAACTTGTTTTGATATAATGATAGTTGATGTTACGTGTCGGTTTCACTACTTCGTTTATATAATCCTTTACACTGTTTGATTTCAATGCTACGTTTTTAGAACTCTCTTTGATATAATAGTCGTCTTCAAATTATATCATTATGGTATATGCCTTCTTCATATAAAATGCATTAAGACAGACAACGTGAAACAGGAAAAAATATAATTTGTTTTACGGGAGCTGACAGTAATTATTTTTTTTTCTTTTCTCCGTTAACACAAAACAGCATGAATACCGATCGCCCTGGTAACGAGTGAGGGTTAAGGCTGCTCACGTTATGATCAAGGCACTGTAAAATTATTTTGATGGATTTATTGACCATATTGAAGGATTTTAGTTAAAGACCTTTTCATACATTGCCGTAATAATGTACCGTGATTAACGTTCTTGATCGGGCTTGAATTTCAATGTGATTTATCATAATTGCCACAAAACGTGTATTAGGCGAGTCTAGGATCATAGTACTAGGGATGGTGCTATACTAAGTGTGCCTAGGAATGTGTTATATTAAGTATAAGTATACATTGGAATGGGGCTATATTAAGTGTGTCTAGGAATGTGTTATATTAGGTATATATTGGAATAGGGCTATATTAAGTGTTCTAGGAATGTGTTATATTAGGTATACATTGGAATGGAGCTATATTAAGTGTGTATATAGCCCCATTTCAATGTATACCTAATAATGTGTTATATTAGGTATACATTGGAATGGAACTATATTAAGTGTGTCTAGGAATGTGTTATATTAGGTATACATTGGAATGGGGCTATATTAAGTGTATCTAGGAATGTGTTATATTAGGTATACATTGGAATGGGGCTATATTAAGTGTATCTAGGAATGTGTTATATTAGGTATACATTGGAATGGGGCTATATTAAGTGTATCTAGGGCTCTAGGAATGAGGCTATATTAAGTGTGTCTAGAAATGTGTTATATTAAGTATACGTTGGAATGGGGCTAAATTAAATGCGTCTAGGGATCTAGGAATGGGGCTATATTAAGTGTATCTAGGGTTCTTAGAATGTGTCAGTATTAAGTATATATAGGAATGGGGCTATATTAAGTGTATCTAGGGTTCTTAGAATGTGTCAGTATTAAGTATATATAGGAATGGGGCTATATTAAGTGTATCTAGGGTTCTTAGAATGTGTCAATATTAAGTATATATATAGGAATGGGGCTATATTAAGTGCATCTAGGGTTCTTAGAATGTGTCAGTATTAAGTATATATAGAAATGGGGCTATATTAAGTGTATCTAGGGTTCTTAGAATGTGTCAATATTAAGTATATATATAGGAATGGGGCTATATTAAGTGCATCTAGGGTTCTTAGAATGTGTCAGTATTAAGTATATATAGAAATGGGGCTATATTAAGTGTATCTAGGGTTCTTAGAATGTGTCAGTATTAAGTATATATATAGGAATGGGGCTATATTAAGTGTATCTGGGGATAGTACTATGTTAGGTGCATCTTGAGATGACAATAGTTGCACACGTTATGCAGGTTATTGTGATCTACCCTTCAGAATTTACTGAACATATTGTCAAACGAAATTTGGCAGGACAGCATTGTCAATATCTTTACTTCTCTGGTCACCAGATTTGCAAGTTGGTGCGTGTAAAAGAAATGATCTCATGCACTGTAACCGTTGTAATATTTTTTGTTGTTGAAATTTACTGTTGACTGCACATTGTTACTGTTACCGTTATATTCGTCTAGATTGAACAATGCTGCTATGGAGCTTATGTTCCAGTTAATTGATGACTGTTGACCTGAACTTTATACCAGGGTTGATGAATGACTGTTGACCTATCCTTATACTAATGTTGATGAATGGATGTTAACCTAACGTTATACCGGGGTTGATGGATGACTGTTGACATGAACCTTAAACCGTTAATGATGGTTGACTATTGTACCGAACCTTATACCAGGGTTGATGGATGACTTTTAACCTAACCTTATACCAGGGTTGATGGATGACTTTTGACCTAACCTTATACCAGGGTTGATGACTGTTGACATGAACCTTATACCAAGGTTGATGGATGAGTGTAGACACGAACCGTATACGAGGGTTGATAGATGACTGTTAACATGAACATTATACCAGGGATGATGGATGACTATTGTCCTGAACCTTATACAGGGTTGATGGATAACTATAGACATGAACCTTATACCAGGGTTGATAGATGACTGTGACATGAACCTTTTACTAGGGTTGATGGATGACTATTGTCCTGAACCTTATACCAGGGTTGATTGATGTCTGTTGACCTGACCATTATACTGGGGTTGATGGATGGCTATTGTCCTGAACCTTATACTAGGGTTGATTGATGTCTGTTGACCTGACCATTATACTGGGGTTGATTGATGACTGTTGACCTGACCATTATACTGGGGTTGATGGATGACTATTGTCCTGAACCTTATACCAGGGCTGATTGATGACTGTTGACCTGACCATTATACTGGGGTTGATTGATGACTGTTGACCTGACCATTATACTGGGGTTGATTGATGACTGTTGACCTGACCATTATACTGGGGTTGATTGATGACTATTGTCCTGACCATTATACTGGGGTTGATTGATCTATGCTATTATGACGTTTATGTTATATTTGATTGATCACATTGTGTTATAATCTTTATATTGTGGCTGGTGATCACTGTCGTTGTTCGGTGTGCATTTCTGCCTTGCGGTTTTGTTCTATTCTTATAAGCATTTAATGAACATTTGTAAAAGAAAACTGGTTTGTACGTTACATCAAGATATTTACACCTCTGGGTACCAGACTCGCAAGCTCGCGTGTCTCGTGATAAATTGATCTCATGCACTGTAACTCTGATTTTTTAAAAATTTTTATGCTAGGACTGATTGTGCATTAATGCTTTTAACTTTGGACAGAGTTGATATTGTGACCTTTATCCTAGGGCTGATATTGTGACCTTTATCCTAGGGCTGATCGATTGATGCAGTCATTTACCTTACTTTCAGATTTTACTGATCACTGTTGTTTTAGCCTATGTGGGTAAGTTGATGGATCACGGTTTTGTTTCCTATATGTTTAGGTTAATTGATCACTGCTGTCGTGACTCTTATTTTAGGGTTGAGTGACCGCTGTGACCTTTACGTTATGGTTCATTGATCATTGATATTGTGACCCTAGTGTCAAGGTTGCTCGATGACTGTTGTTATGACCATTGCTTTAGGGTTGATCGATGACTGTTTTGTGACGACGCTATATCCGGGCTGTTTGACTACTGCTTATAAAATAAGGACTCAGCCGACAGAAACGGAGTAATTGTACGTAACAAAATCTAAGCAAACGTGTATAAGCTTAAGTGGCACATTTAATAAAGAAATGTTACGAAATATAGTGATTGTCAACCAAACGTTTGTCAGCGTAAAGGGAACATTTACAATTTTGTTTAGTAAATATAGTGATTGTCGACCAAACGTGTATCAGCATTATTGGCACATTTAATAAGTAAATATTAGGACATATAGTGATTCTCACATAGTTATGTAATCCAAACATATCCAATAGCTTAATAATTAATCTAGAGAGTATGATGAAAATTATAGTTAACGATGTTTGCTTTATATCATTTTCACATTACTGATTATATGATAAGTGTCATGGAGAGTACATAGCAGATGCAGCTTATGCAACTAGTCACTAATCATTAATTAAAGGCATTACAACCGCCAAATAAGTAATTGGCACATCTGATAAAATACAGTTTTGTTATATATATATATATATATATATATATATATATATATATATATATATATATATATATATATACACATATATATATATATATATATATATACACACATACATACATACATACATACATACATACATACATACATACATACATACATACATACATACATACATACATACATACATACATACACTATGCTTTACCTCTTTAGACTTTAGAAGTCACGCGTTATTGAATTATTTGTATAATGATACTTAATCATTTCCTATTTCATCTTCTTGAAAACC